TTGCCTCCAAGGAGTAGCTTGGTTTAATCCTCTCCAAGATGAATCTGTTTGTTTTCCTGGCAGTCCAGGGTACATTCAGTACCCTTCTCCAGCACCACAGCTCAAAAGCATCCACTCTCCTTCTGTCCTCCCTAGTCACTAGACACATTTAAAGTTCAGGAAAGGTGAGGTCATAAGCCAGCCATATTGCTGCTATGGCCTAAAGTCAAAAAGCTTTCAGAACAACTTCAGATCAAGCCACCTCTGGCTCTCCTTCTCTTAAAAATGATTTTATTATTTTGTGTGTGTGTGTACCATCAAATCAGATCTGACTGGTACAGGAGGAGACTGTCCCTCCTTCTCCAGGAGAGAATCTGGTGGATTTGAACCGCACACCTCTGGGATTGAAGTGCAGCTTCTTGCCAGTAGGCTACCAGAGCTCCTCTCTTTTTCCTTCTCTTCACCTGGCTTGAAGTGGCACAGCCTACAGCCATCATCTGCGCTTGTTTCTGCACTCCAGGCCCTTCTGTGTTGTACCTGATAGCCTTCTCGTCTATAAGAGCCCTGAGCTGGCACCTACCAGACCCAAGCCTGCCTTCATTTTTGTTAAGACAGTTCCCTCTTCCCTTTAATCGTGGGAAAGTGAGTTTCAGTCTCACTCCAAATCACAGAGGGGGATGTCAGCAGGAGCCCCACCCTAGATTTCTCCTGGAGGGTTCATGCTCTCTCTGTTCTAACTACTTTTCCCCCAATTCTTACTTGGGCCATTAGCCTAAACATGCTCTCCCTATTCCAGGCTCTCTCCTCTCATTCTTTGCCATGAAGAACAGACCAGATGCATCATTCTAAAGCACAGTGACTCCGCCCCACACCTCACAACTGCATTTCTTAGTTTCTCTCAACTTCCTTCTCGCCCCAATCTGTTCTGCAAATTCTGCAAATGGACTTCGCTTCCTCCAGCCTTTAGTCTAGGACTCAGCATTTATGACACTTGCATTTGCAGTACTTCGAACCCAATAAGCACCCTCAAAAAGTATTTACGGAATCACTATCATATGGCATTGGGAAACACAGCGGTGAGTTCAAACAGATGTGGGACTGTTTTAAGGAAGAAAGGCAAAATAATCTGTCAAGAACGTCAGGTGTTGAAAGTCCTCAAGCACACAAACCCAAGTGGATTTGGGAAGGAAGACACTTTCCCACTGTCGTTATTATTCCCTAGCAAATATCACTTCTCTTGTGGTCACAGGAATAAGGGAAAGAAGGTAGAATGAGACTGACTTGATTGTTAAATGCCTTTAACAACCTCCTGGGCACCAAGGGAACAGTTGCTGGGCTGTTGCAAGTTCTGAGCAATAAAGCATTAAACAGCTGCATTTCCTTATTACTTCTCTAACGACCAGTAATAAGCAACAAAATTTTATCACTTTTGTGAATGTAGGCTAAATTTCCTCCCTTGTAAAACATGGCTAACTATCTCTGCTTTTCTCGGAAGGCCATTAGGAGACTCAAACATAAAAAAAAAACATACATAGAAGAGCTTTATACAACCATAATGTGTAACACAAATGTATACAGTGCTATTAATCTTTTACTGAATACCATGTTCATCTTTAAATCAATTAGACACCTATTATTTTGAGCAAACATAAACATGTACTCAATAACTCTGAAATATCCTATTAGGAGACAAAACATAGACCAGCACCATACACTAGAAATAAAATAGGAACCACAAATAGAAACCACATGTATAACTTAAAACTTTCTAGTAACTATGGACTTTAAAAAATAAAAAAATGAAAAAAATTCTTTATTAATAAATAAAAAATAAAAAAGATGGACTTTAAAAAATAAAAGAAACCTGTAAAATGAATCTTAATAAAACATATTTTAATCCATTATATCCGGAATAAAGGACCCTCTCCTGCTGAAGATTATCCAAAAGTGACTGGAACAGCACATCTACAGAGAACTGCCAGATATGCAGGCTGGGTTTAGAAGAGTCCATGATACTAGGGGTATTATAATCAATATTAGATGGATCTTAGCTGAAAGCAGAGAGAACCAGAGTAATGTTTATCTGTGTTTCATTGACTATGCAAAGGCATTTGACTGTGTGGATCACAACAAACTGTGCCTAGCCTTGAGAAGAATAGAAATCCCAGAACATTTGATTGTGCTTATGAAAAACCTATACTTGGACTAGGAGGCAGTCCTCAGAACAGAGCAAGGAAATATGTGGTTCAAAATCAGGAAAGGTGTACACCAGGGATGCATCCTATCTCCATACATTTTCAACCAGTATGTGGAATAGATCATCTGGGAGGCTGTGAAGGAATGTGGTATCAAAATTGGAGGAAGACTCATCAACAACCTGCCTTATGCAGACCACATAACTTTGCTTGCAGAAACCACAGAGGACCTCAAATATTTTTTGCAGAAGGTCAAAGACTGTAGCCTTCAATATAGATTGACACTCAACATCAAGAAAACAGATTCTCACCTCTGGGCCAATTAGCAGCATCTTGATAGATGGAGAAGAAGAGATTAAGATTCTGAACAGCTTCAGCTTGCTTGACTCCACAATCAACACTCTTGGTACTAGCAGCCTGGAAATCAAAAGACAAATTGCATTGGGAAAACCTGCTGTCAGGGACCTCTCCAGAGTACTGAAGAACAACAGAGTCAGTCTGGAGACTAAGGTGAGCCTGATCCAGGCCATGGTCTTTGCAATTACATCAGAGAGTTGGACAATGACTAAGAATGACAGAAGAATTGATGCCTTTGAGCTGTGGTGCTGGAGAAGAGTACTGAATATACATACCATGGACTGCTAAGAGAACAATCTTAACAAACAGGTCTGTCCTGCAGAAGGTGAAACCAGGCTACTCCTCAGAAGTAAGGATTTTGAAACTCTGTTTCACATACTTTGGGCATGTTGCCAGGAGAGATCAGTGCTTGGAAGGATGGAGGGACAGCACAAGAGAAGAAGACCCTAGATGAGATGAATTGACTCAGTGACTGGGGTAATCAGGGTAGGTGTGTAGGAGACAATGAAATTGGCTCAAGATACAGCAAGGTTCAGAGCTGTTGTACAGAGGGTGGCTGAGTTGCAAGTGACTCAACAGCACATTAACAACAGCAATAACAATGGTATAGTGGGCTAAGGATTGGACTGTTAATTGAAAGGATGCAAGTCTGGATACATGAGCCATCCTGTGGAAAATAAAGGCGTCTGCGCCCATGAAGATTTAGGACTACAAACACACTGTACAGCCATTCTACTCTGATTTAGAATATGAATTAGAATATATGCAATGACTGGGCAGTGAGACAGTGGTTAAGCACTCAGCTGCTAGAAGAAAGGTTGGTGGTTCAAAACCACCAGCTACTTGATGGCAGAGAGGTGAAGTCATCTGCTTCTGTAGAGATTTACTGCCTTGGAAATCCTATGGGGTCATTTTACTCTGCCCTACAAGGTCCCCATGGGTTATACTTTACTTGATGGCAAGGGACTTTATATTCAGACTAGTGCATCAACATGTAATTAATGTAAAGATTATTAAAAGTAGCACTTTTGAGGACATTATGCTGAGTGAAATATTTCAGTCACAAAAGGGCAAATACTGCATGTGCCACTGTTGTAAAACAGGACTGACATCGGGGTTGGGAGGAGACCAAGAAAGATGGGATAAATTATGTATACTGTATTGAAACAGATGAGGGAGAGACCTATGATTAGGTATTGTCATGACAGGAGTCCAGAACGAAGGCTGCATAGTGGAGCTGACTTGGGGGAAGGGATTTTATAACAATGAGAGAATTTTTCTTTTACTTTTCAAAGAAAAGAGCGAACTGGGAGGGGAGGTTGGGCAAGAAGAAAAGTGCAGCAATGAATGAATGGAAATACAAAGTGTCTGTAAACTTTCGTTAAAATTAATAATAATAATTAAAAAAATCCAAAACAAATTCTGCTTTTCCTTTAAAAATGGCATTTTACATTATTTCTTTGGTAATAAACCTTTGAAATCCTATGTTTTACAATTACAACACACCCCAATTTGGACTGCCCATGTTTCAAATGCTGTTGTCACATGAGCCCAATAGCTACTGTTCTTGTTGTTGTTAAGTGCCATCGAGTCGTACGTGACTCATTGCGACCCTATGAATAAAATACCTGGACACGTTACTTCTGTACAGCAAGTGGACAGACCAGGGCGATACGACCTAGACGAATGTTTGACCAGCAGCACAAAATGAACAGTTGTCAAGTGCTGTCAAGTTGGAACTGACTGCTAGCTGACGCTCCAGTGAGAGGAGCTGGCACGTTGCTCCTGTCATCACCATGGTGATGCTGGGTCATATATTATTTTATAAGAGGGCCAGGGCCACTTTGGTTTGCACGCGGTCTCCCAAGATGCACATGTCCATGGAGTCAAGGCGTCCTGGGGTCCGAGGGGTCGGGGTCACGCTGTGCATTAAGCATTGCCTACGTGGCTCTCACGTAGTGCGCAAGCGCCACTCTGGGCCAGTCACGTGCCAGTTAGTAACTTCCGGACGTGAGGGGGAGGGCAGGGCTGTGACGTAAGGACGCAGTTCCCAGCGCTTCTGTTTGGAAGCCAGTGTCCACCTCTGGGAGCTGAGTCCAGTCGGTGAGGAGGTTGGCTGGGTGCGTGGAGCCGCTGCGGACGGTACCTGCTAACTCAAGGGGTCGTCTTCACCGGCCCTGGTCTGGGATGAGGGTCAGCGCGCGAGCCCCGCCCCACGCGTGCGCACCGAGCCCCGCCTCCAAGCGTGC